AGCAGCACATGCCAGGCTGCAGGAGTTCTGTGACCTGCAGGCATATCTGCACCTGGCAGGTGTGACAGTGGAGTCCCATGTGCTGCCCACAGTAGCTGAGCCTTTCCCATAACATGGACCCGTAGCCAAGACTGGGCCTGGTCATCTAGGAGCCCTCATGATATGACCTCAGCCAGTCAAGGAGACCCTGAGCTGGCCTTCCACCTACAACAGAAGGCTTCCCACTAAGTTCAAGAGGGAGGCATGTTTTAAAGCTTGAATGAAATAAAATTTTAAAATCGCACAAGCATGTAACTCACGGCTTTCTCTTTTAAGAGGTAGATACCTGGTCACCAGGTTGAGCACAAAAAAATTTCCAGCAGTTTTGGTGTCATAACCCAGGCCCTTAAAAAAGATTCTCATGAAGGCATCAGAGCAGCATAAAGTACTCTGTCAAGCCCAACTCCTGTGTGGCTAAGTGGCCCAAGCTGGGCCTCCAGTCCTGAGGACACATCATACATGTCCCATGAGAGCCATTCAGCTAACTGGACTGAGTATAGAACCACAGTCCTGGGTAATGTGGCCCTGACGACATCACAGATGAGAACCATGACTGAGCTTCACCTTGGATATGGGTGACCTGGTGGCCAGTAATCTTTACCTATTGTCAATTCTATACCTGTCCCATCCTCCTGGGTCTAGCCCCCCAGCCCCACTGGAAACCATAGGCAGAAGCACTTAATCCATGGAGGTGCACTGCTGCCCCTTGGCTCCCCATAGCAGGCACAGGGCTGCCCACCCAAGCTTTTGGGGTCTAACTGGTCACATGTGCAGCTTCCTAGGTGCTTCGGGAGCAGTCATGCACCCCCAGTCCTGTGAGCACAGCAGGGGCCCCAGGAGATGTGTGTAGGTCGCTACTGCAGTGAAACTTGTACCCACGTCAACCTTGCTGGCTTTAGGATAGATCAGCGTGAGCTTAAGGTACAATCTTTTCAAGAACGAAGGAGCCAACTGTAGTATTTCCTGCATTATCCTCAAAGAACATACACCAGATTCTGATGATACCTTCAGTGTGGGCATCAGTAAAGCTTAGGTCTGTATATGTCTGTCAGTGGTATCCATGCTCCATGAGGGTTGTACTGTGTGCTTGATGTCCATTTATGTGCCAGTGGGAGGGCAGTTGCTCCCCAGCAGAATAGGCCCAGAAACGGCATCTGCCCAGCACTCCAGATCTCGCCTGCCACTAGAGCTTGGCAGTTCCCTGGCCTTGGATCATCTGACATTTATCAATAAAAATCTCTCAGCACCGATCACCAGTGGCTAAGACTGGGTGGAGAAAAGGACAGCACCAGGTGAGGAGGGGGCTCTGCAGCTGGTCCTGCCCCGGCCTCAGGACTGGAGCAGAAGCCTCCAGGCAGGAGGAGTGGAGCTGACACCCTCTCTGGCCTTCGGCTGCCCCTGGGCAGTGGTTCTGTAAGTCACCCTCACACGCATCAGTCTCAGAGACAGAAGTGCGAGCTACTCGGTACATGATTTTATAGGAAGCACACTTATGTTCAAGTCAAGGCAGAAGCAAGGACATGTGAGTAAAAGCTGCCATCTAGTGACAGCCTCTGAGTCCCAGCACCACGCCCAGCCAGCGCCGCTCTTCGATGGACGGAGGCACTGTCATGCCAGGCTTTCCGTGGTGACTGTCCTCAGGGGCAGGGCATCCCACCAGGTTTGGCTCTCAGGACCAGCTTCAGCAGGCACCAGGCTGTAGGAAAGACACCACAGGGTTGGGCTGCACAGCACCTTACCTGTTTGTTCCCAGAAGGGGACCCAGCCCCCCTAGACCCCCGAGTAAAGACCGACACCAGTGCTGGATCCCTGCATAAACTTCATTTGTGTAATTTCCCCAGACACACTGTGAGCCTGAGCCATGCAGCCAACAGGTGCCCATGGCTGATGTGACCTCGGCTTCCAAAGAACCACCATGCAGTGACACTGCATGTGGGCTATGGGAGGGGAGTTGGCTATACTGTTCTCTTTTAACTTCATTCATGCATGTTTGAAAGTTTTTCTAATAAAAATGTTTGAAAGGTCTCCTAATAAAAATGTAAAAAACACATTTAATTCAGAAGTCTGATGCTGAGTTCAGTCTTCACAAACAAGAAAACTGAAGATGGCATCATGATGATCAGCCTGTCCTCACCACCCCTCAAGGTGTCACCCAGGTCAGTGCTTGCCACCCTGTGTTATGTGGATGCAGTTTCTGCAAGAGGAAGGCCCAAACACAGCAGGACCAGAGGGAAGGCAAGGAGAGAAGGGAGAGAAAGACAAAAGTCTTCTCCGAAATGATGACTGAATTACAAGTATCAAGAGGAAACACGCTGAATGTTAATAAGGCAAAGAGAGGCAGAACAATCAAGACAAAAGTAAGTGTTGAGAGGACGCAACAGGAAGGGAGGCCAAGAACACATCCTCAATACCAAGGGCCCGGGTGCTGGGACAGCCTGGGCCAGTCAGCCCTGCGACAGGTCCCCACCGCAGCCAGTGGTACAGGCAGAAGCACAGCAATCCAGAGGCCAAGGGGGATCAAAGCTGAGCTTGATGCTGTGATTCCTTCAGGCTACAGTAAATCAAAGAACATGACCTCAGGTAATCACTGTCAGAAGAGCAGGAAAATCATGGAATAACAGAAGGGGAAATGAAATAACATTTTTCGCAATCCAAGTGAAGACCAGAAAGGAGAAAAACACTGAAAAGGAGGGTCAAACAGAAAACAAAGATGGTAATTGTAAACCCAAGTTGGTAATTACAATTTTTTTTTTTTTTTGAATCAGAGTCTCACTCTGTTGTCTACACTAGAGTACAGTGGCATGCTCATGGCCACCGCAGCCTCAACTTTCTGGGCTCAGGCGATCCTTCCGCCTCAGCCTTCCAAGTAGCTGGAATCACATGCACGCACCCCCACACCCAGCTAATTATTTTATTGCGGAGACAAGGTCTCACCAAGTTGCCTAAGGCTGGTCTCAAACCCCTGGGCTCTGGCAATCCTCTCACCTCCGTCTCCCAAAATGCTGGGATTATAGGCGTGAGCCACCATGCCCAGCTTAGTTACACATTAAATATAATAATAGAGCACCCCAATTAAAACAGGTTATTAAACTGGACTTCAAAAAGGTAAGACCTGACTATATACTGGTCATTAAAAAACCCATTTAAATTAAGAGCATAAAGAAGTTGAAAGTAAAATGATAGAAGATATACAAACACTGACCTCCAAAATCTGATGTGTCTATATTAGTGTAGACTTCAAGGCATGAAGCTTTATTACAGATAAAAGTGAATGTTTCCAAGTAATGGTCAACTCTCCAGGAAGATGCCACAAACATGAACATATAAGTACCTAGTAACAGCATCAAGATGTATTGTGAAAGTTGACAAAACTAAAAAGAAAAGTTGAGAAATCCACAGCTTTCTCAGTAGCTGATAGAGTACGAAGCATACAAAAAAGTACAGCCAGGCCATTTTGAAGAGCCCCAGGTGGCACAGTCAGTAACATGACCTACCAGACAGAACACAGGGCAGCCAGCATCAGTTGCTACAGGTAAAGAGCTTGGAGGCATCACTCCTGTCATGCAAGAAAAAGCTGTACCTGCTGAGTGTCAACTACCTTTCTCAGACCTGTCAAGAAAACATTACCCTGACACTAGAGAGATGGGAGAATACAGAGAGCCAAGACCAGTTTCCTTGTGCAGAGGCCACTGGGCCATAAACTGTGGGCATGTGTATGTGGCAATTTTGACAAAGGGAGGCTGGGAGTGTACTAGCTTGAGAGAGAAACTCCAGGGGCTGTAGCCTTAGGGGCCCCACACCTTCTGGTGCTTTTCCTCTGGAACACACCAGGAAGATCTGTGAAGCGCCTCCAGTGCCTTCTCCCAAACAGAGGCCTTCCCAAGGGATGGGACTCTGCCAAAGCCTGCCCAGCTGGGTAGGGGTCACAGCCCAGAGGCAGGGAAGGAGCTATACCACAGGAGACGCACTGTGAAGACTGCAGACCCAGGCATAGGGATGCTGACAGACTGAGAGTGAATGGGGAGATAAGAGAATGGGCCCCATTCCCCATCCTACCATGAGCAGGACTGGGAATTCCAGCTGAAAGAGCTGCAGGAGTCAAGCTCGCTCTAAGGAGGAGAACACAGGGAAGCAGAGAGTCTTAAGAGGAAACAAAAACAGATGCTGGAAGAACGTAAAGGCTCTAAAACCTATAGCTACAGTGAACACTGAACACAGAGTAACTCCCAGCCAGGCAAACAAATCCTCACACTAAAGGCCCACTTACTTCAGATCCTATTACTCAACACAGCATGTCGGTTCTCAACAAAACAAGACATGCCAAGAAAGCAAAACCCAAAGAGAATGAGTATCAGAGCCAGACTTGGATATGCCAGAGATGTTGGAATTATTAGACAAAGAATGTAAAGCAACCATGATGATAAACTGGGAGCTCTAATGGAGAAAGTAAGCAACATGAAGAGCAGGCAGGCATTGTATGCAGAGATGGAAGCTCCAAAGACATGAGGAAATGCTAGAGACCAAAACCACTGGAACAGAAAGGGAGAATGCTTGTGATGATGGACTCCTCAGAAGATCAGACATGGCCTAGGAGAGGATCAGTGAGCATGGAGATAGGTCAGCAGAAACTTCCAAGCTGAAATGCAAAGAGAAAAATGAAGGAAAGAACTAAAAAGCAAGATCATCCAAGAGCTGTGAGAAAATTTTGCAACATCTCTACTTGGAAACTATAAAAGGTGGAGATAATTTCTAAATAAGTAGATATAACACGTCCATTGGCAGAAGATTCAACATCACAGACATCAGCTTTTTTCAAATCCATGCAGAAGCTCCAAGCACCTCAGACTTGGTTTTATCATACAAACTGACAAGTTGATTCTAAAAGTTTTACAGAAACCCAAAGGGCAAAGAAGAGTTCAAACAAAGACAACAGAACTGGAGAATGGACACAATTGGGTATCATGACTTTACAAGGCCCACACCTGTAATAGATTGGACAAAAAGGTCACAAAATAGGACAAGGAATCCAATAGTCGCACATATTATCACCTCATGACAATGCACTGTGCTAAGAATGGAGCTGGGTCAATTAGACATGGAAGAAAATATAATGTGTATTGACCTCCTCAGATAAAAAAGTCAATACCAGGTAGACTGTGAATTTCAGCGTTTTTATATTAAACAATAAAGCTTTCATAGAAAATCAGGAACTCCATACCCTTGGAGCAGGTAAAGAGATCTTAAACAAGAGACATACAACTAAATAAACGGGGAAAGTGGCAAGCTGGTCCACATAAAATCTCAGGATGAAAAGCTGCCCCTGAGTAGAGTATTTGTAGCATGTAGAACACCTAAGGAATTTCTGCAGATAAAGTACAAAAGAGGACAAGCTAAAGAACAGGAAAATATCTGAAAAGATTTCACCTCATGAAAGAGAATGGTCAAACTGCTGACAATCACATGAAAAGTGCTTAACTTTCTGTCAGCAGGGAAACACAGGCAAGACTACCACAGACTGAAATGGCCACAGTGGAAGAGATAGGAGCCAAGGGTTGGTGACGACGTGGCCACCTGGCTTGCATATGCTGCATTCAGAGGTAAAGCCACTTTGGAACCTGCTTGGTGCCCCCACTGAGACAGGACTCCATATTTGTGGTAGGCCTGAGGTACACAGCCAGAACAGCAGGATAGGAGAGGAGGGGCTCCACTCTGCCTTCTGCTTTGTGCCCTGGGTGAGCCACACACCAGGATCAGCTTCTTTTCTGTGTGTTCTTCAATGAAAAAGTTTAAGAAAAGTCTCCAGAGAAACAGCAGGCAAGGTGTCAGAGGGACAGGAATGGGGCTGAGTGCAGGCAGTATCTCTGGACATGTTCCAGGTGCTTCATGGGAGTTCACACACTAAGTGGGAGCTGCTGTGACCTGTGCTGTACAGAACCGATGGATGGAGGAGACCACTATGGGCGACCTGACCTCTGCCCAGTACAACACAGAACATGGAAGAACCATGCTCAGGACACTGATCTCAGAAACCACAGTGGCACACACCAAGGCCATGGAACATGGCAAGGAAAAGCATGACAGGCAGCCTCAGTGGATGGACACCAGCAGGCCCCAAGGCAGCCAGGGAGGTGCCTCTGCAGACCCTGGGGAGGGCAGATATCCAGGAAGGACCAGGTAGGGAGCTGAGGCCTCCTTTCCATACAACAAGAGCAGAAAGAGGTGCTCAATGTAAGGCTCCAAGAACCTGGATGCAGCAGCCACTGAAGCACAGGGCACAGAACTTGCCAACAGTATGGCAAGTCCCTGGTCGGCATCCCAGAAGGACTAAGAGTTGGCTAGATGTGGGAAGGAGGGTGCTGCATGATGGGGTGGAACAGCAGCAGCAGGAACACCTGAGCTCGTGATGGTCTCATTTCCTTCAGAAGGAAAAATGACTCTAAAGGGATGATAAGGGCAGCTCCTTGGGGTTTCTCATCCAACCCTGTTCCACTCTTGGGAGGTAGATGGGGGAGGAGGAGGACAGGGGCACTTTCAGCCCTTGGAACATGAAGAGACTCACAAAGAGAGAAACTTGGAGTCAAGCTGGTGCCAGTCCTGCCCATCCCATGGCTCCCAAAACACATCCCAGAGAAAGTGGCCTGGATTCCTAGGGGTCCAAAGGTGTGGGCAGCAGCCAGAGAAGGCAGCTGAAATGGAGAGGGGGATGGGCAGTATGGACCCACTGTCAGGGAGCTGAGCATCATTACAGAGTTCTGGACAGCACAGGCATCATGGTGGGCACCTCATGCTGCAGAGATGATGTAGGTGTTACCTTAGGCACCAGCTGGGGTCTGGGCACACCCAGGAGGTCACACAGACGGTTCCGCTGTCCTCTGACAACCAGGAGTTCTGCATCCCTGAGGAAAGAAAGGAGATAGCTGTGAGTCCTTGAATTCAAGTATGTGCATTGAATGCCCATTTAAAAAATCTCAGTAAACTTCCTGCCTGATGAGCGGAGACCTGCATCATCTTAAGATTAGTGAACATTAGGGAAAGGATACCCATCCCAAAAATCTATTCCCAGGAAAACCCTCTCAGGCACTAGGGCAGAAAAGACATTTCCATATGCATTTCTCAACCAGGCTTAGACCCAAACCCTTTTCAGGAACCCAAAGGAGGAGGCACCAAGGGAAGACAGGCCCAGTCCAGGGGCTGTGCCAGGAGGGCGCAGACGCCAAAGGGGCTGCAAGGGCTTTTAAAGATTCATTTGAATTCAGCTTTTGATTTGCTACTTTCATTAAAAATAAAAATTAAATTTAGCAGTGCTGTGGCAAAATGTTGGGCATGTTTGTCTTTTGTAATAAAAAATTATTTTTAAATTCTAAGGAAATCTTAACAGAAAGGGGATTAAATTATGGGAAAAGACCCCTCCCCACCCTGTTCATCTTCCCTCCCTTCAACATTGAGGGAAAGGAGGGAGGTCCAGGCACCCTTAGGCCTGGGCCTGGCTGGGGAAAGAGCCCCAGGCCCAGTTCCAGATGCATGGTTTGCTGTCCTAAAGCTGATTATTTTAGAATCTGATCCCAAATGTGCCTCAGTGTTTTAAAAACATAATAGAAAAGCATGTCTCCAGCACAGTAGTTGAAACAGCTGGTCTTGATGAACATTTAGAAGACGGGTCCCAGCTGCACACACCTCCTCACCTGAGACCATATGTTTCTGTTTAGGAGCTCTGGGAGCAAAGATGTTCCTCCTTCCAAGATAGGAAATCTCAATGAAGCCCTGCAGCTAAAAGGCCACCTTTCTAGGCACAGTGGCTCTTTTCCAGGCCACCTGTGAGTTGTGTGGAATCGTGAACCTGCAGGAACGTCACTGTTCCAAGATGCACCAGGCGTGTCCTCACCTGCTTGAGCAGGTGGCACTGACTTGACAGACCCAGCACCAATGCTCTGCGTTCAGCATGGAGGCCCCACTACCAGTGCTCTATGTGGGGCAATTCCTTGGGCAGGAGCAAGGACTCTGCTGCCCTGGCTACGCTACCTGGACACCTATGTGAACCCTCACTGTGCTTCGGTCCTTACCTCCCATAGTAGAAGGCTGCTCCCATAGACGTGTACATATGTGTGAGCATGTGTGCTCATGTGTGTTTGTGAGCACATGCTCACAAATGTGTACAGCACCCCTGTTGGTGCTCCTAAGACCACTTGGGTGGGCCCAAATGCCTTCCGCACTTGCACTGTCAGTTTTACTTTTCAGCTCTTCTATTCATCCACATGCTATCTCATTCAGGCCCTTCATTCCCATACACCTTTCAAACTCACTGCGCTCTGATCCACCAGGAGTGCAGAACCCAACCCAGGCTGCAAGAAACGGAGCCTGAAGTAGCTTTGGAGGGACACACCATTGTTTCCCAAGGGATATCGAGAGGCATAGGGTCCTGGCGGCCCCCAGGAAAAGGTCTATATACAAGGCAGAGGAGGAAGGAAAACTCTTCTTTTCTCCCATTTCCTTCTGCACCTCTTGATTTTTGAAACATGTTCTTATATGGCCTGTTCCTATTCCAAGAAAACTGCATAGAGGCCGGGGGTCTCCCTGAGGGGTATCTGATGCAGCGACAACTGCCGTGGTGCCCAACGCCCTTCTGCTCCCGAGGCTGCTGGAAGTAGCTGCCTGGCAGCACAAGTGGAGTGTCCCTGTGCCAGGATAATGGCTTCACTATATTTCTGACACCCCCGACACTGGGGTGCAGGAGCTCCCATCCCCAGAGTGACCCCTAAGGCCAGTAAAATAGCAAAACAGAATGTCAGCCCAGAGAGCTAATGATCAGTTAAGGGAAGAGCAGCCCAGAGAGAGAAAACACTGGCCTCTACCAGGTGAGGGTTGGGACAAACCCATCCTCACACACAGTAACTTATATCTGGGAGAAAAACTGTTTTACTTTAAAAACTGTCCCACCTGGACAGCCCAGGAGGTGCCCGGCCCCTGCATCTGGTTGCCAGGCCCCTCAGGGGTGTGAGGCTCAGTGGGCACCACAGGTGAGGCATTTCAGTTAAAACAACACTGCCTCCTTGTGCAGTCCAGAGCTGAAGCTGTTGAGGCCTGGAAACCTCTTTCCTCATCCCTTCAGAGGTTTTGGGAGAGATGGGCAGATGCAGAGCCAGAAAGAGGGGTGACATCAGACTCAGAGCAGCCATGTGGAAACAGGCTTCACGTACCATGCTGTATCACTGAGCACGGCCATGACTTCGTCCAGCACATCTGCACCCACGATGTCGCTGTAGGTGAGTACCATCTCGTATACCTGGCTAGCAGTGGTCTTCCGAATCTGGGATTGGGACAGAGTACATCAGAGAGGGAAACACCACTGCCCACCCACAGAGACAACAGGACCCTGCCCAGGGATCCCCAGCCCATGGGTCATGAGACATGTTGGTGAAGACCGTTAGGAGGACAGAACTGACCATGCATCCCAACTTGGTGACCACAGGGCCGTAACCAAAAGGAGAAGGCATATTTCACACCTGGGTAAACCACCCTTGTCCAAATTCTGCCAAGGATTTGTAATGCCCAGGTTATTATTCTATGTAAATGTTCCATTAAAAATCTGCTTCCTCATTGGAGAAACACATTTCTTTTCTAGTTGTGCCTTGGTGATAACACATTTCATTGAACAAGAGTGTCAGAATCCCCAAGTCTCTCCCCAGAATTCCCAAATTACCAGAACAGGACCCCAGGAATCTGCATTGCTGACAGCCCCAAGAGATGGTAAAGTGAGAGTCCAACCATCCCACTTTGAGAACCACTGTATAATGTGAAAGTTATTTTTGTCTTTTAGGAAACTGTCACCTCTTGATGATTTAAAGAGCTTATTTTCCCCCCAGACAAAGGCAAAGATAAATCCTAGAAATCTAACAGATGGGAGTTCCGAGGGTGAAGGGCACTGTCCCTCAGGTGTGAGTTGAGTCTGGTACCTTCTAAGAGCCCTTGAGCCTAAACCATACGCACACAGCAGCCCCTCCAGCCCCAGCTCCAGAGCCCACAGACAGGTTTATGTTCGTATAAATGCCAGCCAGACATCCAGTCCTTGAAGCCAAAACACTGAGTCCAGAACCCTCTGCTGATGACAGCACCTGTGACTCGTTACCCCATGGGGCTAGTTAACAAGTAAAATCAAAGACCCTGCTTTGCCTCAGCTTCTAAGCCCGAAGTAAAATCACCAATGCAACACTTCCTGCTGAAGGTCTTTCTGTCAACAAGGGGTTTGAGGTAAACACACTTGAGTCACAGGGGCTCACCAGGGGGAACGGGTGGCAGAGGAGAAGACAAAGCTGCAGAAGGACCTTCCTCCTCACATCGCCAGGAAACTGTACCATTCCACAGAACCTGCAGGAGACAGCAAGCCAAGCTTATCAGGAGCCACGCCCTGCACAGGCCCAGCATCCAAGCATCCCACAGCAGTGTGGATGCTGAGACACATTCAGAGGCCCAGGAAGGACACATTTCGTGAGCTCAATACAGGCCTAGAGAGTGTGCATGTGCAAGCACATGTATTCATGTATATATGTGCCTGTGTATACACCTGTGCAATGTGTATACACGTGTGCTTACACACGCGAATGTCACACTGAGAAAGCAGACTTTGGGAACCTAGGGTGTCTCAGGGAGGACAAGCAACAAGCTCCCCACAGGGCTGTCCGCCCTGCCCGTGAGTCCTCCCCACTCCTGGCATCTGCCTCAATACCCACTTACTCGAACACCGTAGATGAAGGCACTGAAACCACATCTGAGGCGCTGTCCTCTGGCCCCACAAACAACCCTCTGCCAATGGCAGCAGGGGGACCAGTCATGGATCATCTGTTCTGGTGGGAACACCCTTTTGCTATGACTGTTTTAAAGGAGCATAACACATGCGTTTAGACCGCTTTATGATGGGAAATAACTCCTCCCAGCTGAAGCTACCACTTGGCACTTAACCACTGTGAGGCCAAGCCCTTCTGTGGCCATCTCAGGCCAGAAACAAAACTCACACTGCAATGCTTGACCGAAGTTTCTGGATGTCTTTTGACTTCTTGATTTCTTCCTTACAAAGTGCAAGCAACTTCACACAGAAGGGGTGGCTAGAAGAAGAACACACTATTCTAGAGATGAGCTTTCACAGGGGGCCTATGTACCACACCACTGTGCATTTGGTGACAGGTGCTGCCACCAAGTGTCTGGAGGGTCCGCTCTCTGGGTGACATCACACCAGGTTCCAGGAACTGGCTCCTTTGCTCTCTCGGCAAGCACAGTAGAGAACAGATGCTACCTGCCTCATGTATCCAGCAAGCCACCATCACCCACAGTATTTAACATGTGGGCAGGCCGACCCCAGTGTGGTTACAATGCAATCACATTCACTCAAGTGGCTGACCCCAAAGGAAGAGAATCCAGCCTGACAAGGGCCAGCTACTCCTCTTGTGACCAAAGAAGGGAGGATGTACTGAGTCCTAACCAGGCTACACCTCACTTGGAGATCTGTCACATTAGACCACTGCCCTTTCAGGATCAGTCTATGACAGCAGTTCCCCTGACCAAAAATGGATCCAGGGAAACGCTCCTGCCCCCTTGGAATAAAACAGATGAGGCAGTCTCAGCCCCTTATCCCTAGGTTCCCTCTTACTCAGAAGTATCCTCGTGTATCTCTGATGCCCGCCCTGACCCAGCTCTGCCTAGCCTTTCCCGAGATCACTAAGATGCTTGTGGGGACCCAGTGGCTGTCATATTGCTAAGGGCTAGTCATCCTGGTCCTCAGCCTCTGTGACTGCTTGGTAGACACCGTTGATGGCCTCCCTGCTGAGATATGCTCCTGATTCAGGCTGTCCCTATGGCTTTGCTATTTCTCTGTGTCCCTGTCCCCTAACAAAGGGCTGCCCACAACTCTGTCTACACCCAGTTCCCCAGTCACCTTCATCCACACCCATGCCTCTGGTGACCTCAGGGTTTCACACCCCACCCACCCTGAGGATTTCCACAGCTCCAGCCCTGTAGATCTTGCTATTCTGGGCCATGATAAGCTTCTCAACCCAAACTCTTTCAAACTGTGCTCAAACCTCACCACCTCTCTTCTGCTCCCTGCTGCCCATTGCTGTTGATTAGATTTACAGTGTGTATAAACTCTGATCTTGAATGTCTTGGAAAAATGTCTCTAGAATTCTGGTCTCTGGATTAGGTTGTTTATTATTATTATTAAATATCTTTTAATGTGAGACACTTAGGCTTATCCAGAAAAGTACTGAACAGAGAGATGCTCACTCCTCCTCCGTGGTGAAGATGTCAAAGCAGCCATTGGCCAGCATCTGGTTCAGCGTCCTCAGCAGTGGCACGGACACCCTGTGGGATAAGACACTGCTCAGAAGAGGGCACGCTGCCTCCTAGACTGACCAGTATCAACATAATCTCAATCAGCATGTGGCAAAACCACAAACCAGTCTCATTTATATGGAAACGCAAAGGAGCAAGAAAGGACAAGACAACTATTAAAAAAGAGTAGCTGGAGGCCAACACCATTTAATTTCAAGAATCACAGTAAAGCTGAAGTGATCAAAATGGCATAGTACGGGCAAAGATATGAACACATCATGGCACATGGCACAGAAGAGTCCAGAATAAACCTACAATTTCTTACAAAAGTGTGAAAGCCACACAGAGGAGAAAGGAGTCTTCATAAGACGTGGGAACATTATGTCCAGGTGGCCCGGTCCACACTGCACAGGCAAAACTGTGCTCGAAACAAACTTTAGGTCTAAATATAAAACCTGTAACTCTATACATCTTCTAGAAGGAAACATAGGGAAAACCTTTGTGACCTTGGATTAGTGAAGCTTTCTTAGATATGACCAGAAAGGCAGTCCCTCAAAGAACAAGGGATGCACTGAGGTGGGACAGAGTGGATTCATTCGCTCTGTGAGAGACATGATATAGGCCAGGAGAAAATATCTGCGGATCACAAATCTGATGAAGGAATATCACAACTCAGCACTAAGGAAAAACCCAACAGTTAAAAAATAAGTAAAAGAAAAAAAAAAGAAAACACTTCACCAAAGAGGATAAAAAGATGGCAAAGTGCTGGTGAGGCATGGTGCGCCCAGCTCTCCCTGACAGGAACAGCAGGATGAAAGCACACAACCACTTTGGAACACAGCTCTGCAGTTTTTAAAAGTCACACATTCACCTCCCTCGTGACCCAGCCTTTGACTCCTTAGTATTCACCCAATGAAAAGGAGATACATTATTCCTCACTTGGCCTCATCACTAGGTTCTGGGAAACTGACTTTACGCAAAACAATACATAAGAAACCAATTTGACTGCAGGCAAATCAATATAAAGTATTCAGTTCCTACTATATGAACAGTCTGACAATTAAGTTCGCAAATTTGCCACCAGCACTTGTGTTGGCAGCACTTGTACAACTTGGTAAGGTTTCATAACCTTGGTATATCAGTTTGTCCAAGAGTTGTCCTGGTGCTCAGGGAGGATTTCCTGTCGCATCCACACCGAGACTGACTCCCATGTTCCCTGCAGCCCCAAGATGGAAACAATCCAAGTGCTGATGAACAAAAGAACAATGGCTCATCCACACGAGAGTACACTACAGCATGGTGATGCAGGCCAGAGAGTACCCAGGCTGGGGCAATGGGAAGAGAGCTGAGGGTCAGGAGAAACCCTGGGTGAGGGATGTGCCCACTATCCTGACTGTGGAATGACTTCAAGGGTGTACACATGTGTTAACATTGATCATCAAATTGATGACAGTCATTTCTACATCAGTAGAGCTGTCTGCAAAAAGAGAAAAGAAAGCATGGCTGGGGTGAGTCCCATTCGCCAAGTGCTGCTTCTGTGCTTCCCAAGGTGAGAGGCTGATGAGCTCCCATGGGAGGGGAACATGTGGCCTGAGTTCTCACACATGCACCAGGAACAACTCTCAGAGGATACAGGAGAACATTCCCAAGTGTAAGTCGAGGCCCATGGTATCAATCTATAGTCCACCTCCATGTAAAAGCAATTACCAAAAAGGTACGGCCAAATATTCCTGGAAAATAAGTCCTTCTCACTGGGACACTCGGAAGTGCTGGGCTCTCACTGACTCATGGCTGACATGTGTCAGCATGGGCGTCTCCAGGAGAACCCACCGCCAGGAATACCCGGGAGGCTTCTCACAGACAGGGGCCATGCTCTCTTCACCTGGTTCAGAACTTGTAATCTCCTCATTTCCAACATGCACAAAGTGGTCATTGCCCTGCCCAAAGCACAGGCTGGGAGAGGTACAAGGCAGAGCTTGGAGACTCAGGCTGCCAGGCTGCAGCTTATAGAGAACTGTGTGCCTTGGCACATGCTCGCTCCTCAGGCACGTCCCCCCTTGCTCCTCGGCCACTTAACGATGAGATGTGTCCACCTCTCCCAGAAGATCCCAGCGAGCAGGTGAGACCCTGGGGGTCTGTGGAAGAATGATGAGAGGCACAGGTGCCACCTGCACTTCTGAGGCTGGGAGATGCCACTCACCTGTCATTTAGAAGGTTGTCCTCGAAGACCTGCAGAAGGGTCCTGCTGAAGTTGCCCAGGGCCTGTGGGTCACTCTGAATCTTCTTCATGTACTCAAAGAGGCTCTGTGAAGAGTGTCTGACCTGCAACACCAGATGGAAACATGGTCTCTAAGGCAGTGAGCTCACCACCCCTCCCACTCCTGGGGTTGGCTGCAGTTTGGAAATGTACACATCTACCAAAAAGCTGGGATGACTGAATGACAGAGATGTGAGGATCCTGCAAACACTTGGTTAATGCAGGCAGGGCATCACACAGTGCAAGTGCCTGAAACAGAAGCATTTCTCTTGGATGGCAGCACTGTCTAAACTATACGCTAACATGTTTGCCAGAACATAGTGCTGTGGTGGGGTCACCACAGGAAAGAGATCAGAGCCCAAGGCATGGGTGCCATGAGTCACAAGGTATAAAGATGCTTCTGTGGGCCACAGCTCCACCACAGACCCGGGGAGTTGGGCCTGGCGTCCTGGAGGCTGAGGTGGATCTAGAAGCTGATGGAGCCAAGTGACCATGTGTGGGGTCAGGCAGGCCCTGGGGGGATAACCCCGAGGGGGCCTCACAAGTGCCAAGCCCCAAGTAGAGCATGGCTGTCCCTCTGAGCAAAGACGGAGAACCAGGAGCACAGGGCGACATGTGAGCTCAGCTTTAATACCACAGAGAAGACAGGAAGGTGAGAGGGAAGGGCCAGGGGGATGGGTCAGGGTGGCTCAGGAGAAAGAACCCTGATGCATTGTGGAAAGTCAGGTTGTTGCGGGAAAGAACTGGAGCAAAGATGACCAGTTCCCAGAAAGTCACCCCCATTGTAGAAAATTCCACAGGGCAAGCAAGCAGATTCTTTAAAAACTAAACAGCATGAAAAACAGGAGTGGAGGGGCAGGAAGCAGAGAACCATGAAATGTCAGAACCTCATAACACATCATCCAGGTGCAATGTGGGACCTCCCCTGATTATGAGGTAAACACATTTGAGATAACCGAGGAAATTAAATTAGGTTCATTTACGTATGATAATAGTGTTGTGGTTGGACTTTCACAAAGTCTTTAAGAGACATAGGAAGTACTTACAGGGCAGATCGTACAATTTCTGGAATTAGCTTTAAATTACTCCCCTGCCAAACCAAACTGTGTGCAGGTAGCATATGTGTCAAGGGGCAGGAATGGGTAGAACTGCATAGCTCCTCGCTAGGCACATGGATATCCCTAGTGATACACTTTGTACTGTGTGTACATTTTAAAATTTCCCAAAGGAAAAGCTAAAGAAAAATTAATGGTTTCTTATATAGGAATAATCAGCTAAGAATGTGGTAGAGAAATATAAGTATTCACTGACAGTAATATCAAAACTTCAAATGTTTTAAATAGGCACAGAAAAAGTTCAGACTTGCACGTCCTGACTCTCAGGCAGCATGTCCTGCAGTGAAGACACACAAGGCTGTGCAGAGACCGTTGGCCACGCCCTATGACAGAGCACAGAGAGTGGGGGCTCCAGGAACACAGACACCACGGCCAACTCAGTCCTGCTACTGAGTCCCAACTTAACATCTAATTCCACCTTCTTCAGACTTGCTCACACTGCGGGCCACTCGGCCTCCTGGGTCATGGGAAGAAGCTGGACCCTGGACCCGCAAACCAATATTCCCAAGACATAGAGTGAGCAACAGAAGAAAAGATAAGGCCCAACCCCTGCACACTCCCAGGAGAGAAGTGCCAGGTGCCACCTGGAGCCACACACCCCCCATGTCGGCTGGCCAGATGTCTCCTCACCGTGGACTCTGTCAAGCCGCCCACAGACACAACCAGCCCCAGCAGTACGTGGTAGCGGTAAGCAGGCAGCCCGAGGAGCTGGGTGATACGCGGGAAGGCCTGGGAGGATGCATTCCAGTTCACAGAGGCCATGTCGGACCTGCAAGAGAATGAGCCGGATGAGGCTGGGCTCCCTGTGCTCACACCATGGCCACAGGAGCCAGGTGTGGGGGAGCCCACGCCACGACAATACCTGGGAAACAGCTTTTCCAGCTCTCCCCGATGGGGCACGTGGGGGATGGGAGGACTGTCAAAGTGTAGGAGCATCAGGAACATGTTCATGGCATGAGCACGGAACCGATCAATCTTCTCGCTCGCCTGCTGGGCCACACAGCACATGACACGCTCACAGCTGCAAAGGGAGCATGAGGTCCAAGTCATTAATCCTGCCCCAACACCACAAGGAAGCGTGAGCACCTGACATGGCCAGCTGGCACCATAGCCACCTTGGGATGGGCTGTGAATTGGGAGGACTCTGGACGGGAGGACTCTGGACGGGAGCCAGGCCTTGGAAGGAGGACATCCCGCTCACCTTCATGTCCCAGAAGCCACACAGCAGCTGCACAGCAAGCATGTGTTAAGGACATGCCATGGGGTCTTGGGTGGAAGCAGCAACAAATAGGATTACAGGGGAGGTGGAGGAGGAAGATGGGGAAGAAGATAGGCCAAGGCTGGGGAAGAGGGAGAAGAAATGGGAGGAGAGGACAGGACGCCGTGGGGAGGAGGGAAGAACTAAGGAAATGAGGCCAGGATCCTCCACGGACCTTTATCCAGAGATACTCATGGTAGGGGAGAGGCCCAAAGGCAGACCTGGGTCCAGGGAACCCACTAAGTGATGGGTTAGCACGTCCCTGGCAGGCACAAATGCCCAGGTGCAGGGGTCCCAAGCTGAGAGGCCCCCCAGCCAGGGATGCTGCCTCTTGTCAAATAAGCCAGAGTACTGAGTGAGGCCCAGCTGGGGAGGAAGGGCCTGCCCAGACCCAGGTGAAGGGATGGGAACAGCTCTCTGGGAAGAAGGTGGATGCTCTGTGGTGCAAACCTCACAGCACACCACACAGCCCATCCTGCCAGCCACCCTAAGCATGCAGTTGCCTTTCTGGGTAGAAAAGAGCTGCACGCACCAACACTTACATGTGGGCCTCAATCAGCCCTGGCTGGCTCCGTCCCAGCAGAAGTGTCAGGTCTGTCAGGCTGGTCATGGCAGCCTCACGGACCCTGCAAGGACAAGGAGAAACAGAGGCTCAGCTCAAGATGGAGATTCCCGAGGCTGGTTCTGCCATGCTGGCCAGGCCTTGTAAGCACGACACCCATGACTGTCCCACATGGAGGCCAAATGGGGTTTATCATTACCAGAGGAAAGTCATGAGGACCACCCAAGGGCCCTTTGGGCTGTGAAGACACAGACAGGGAGGCCCAAAGCCCACACAGGCTGGCTTCAAAGTGTCCTTCACACAGGGGAGTTTAAGGGATTATTAAATCCCACACTGGTGGAAAATGTCAGCGAAACCCGATACAGGCAGTTAATTGTCAGCCTTTCATCAAAGAATATGTTCTCACTCTCTTGGATTATGTCAAACAAGGAGGGTTCGTGTCTAACACCCAAGACAGAATAGACAAGCCCCAGCAAAGCCCTGTCACATATGCACACACAGAAACACAGGACAGGTCGTTTTCCCATGAAGCTGTAAAATACATGACTCTACAAAGATTCCCCCTCCAGAACACCTCAGGACTCTGTGGTTCTCTCTGAGCAAACAGATGTTTGAGGTTCCACGGATGTTCGCTGCCACTTACCAAGCCCCCACATCCCCTCTGCTGTCCGTGGTGTAGTCGTGTACACAGCCCAGCAGTGAGCAGTAAATCTCAGAAGCGTTCTCTTTGCACACAGCTTCATCCGGGGCTCCTGCTTTCACACCAACAGTCTGGCAAATCCTGAGGTTAAAAATGCATGAAATACACAGTGAATGTCTGTGAACTTTGTCTTTCCCATCATGATGGCCTGATATGTTTTCCTGAGACAATACACTCAACAGGCCAAGAGCCTAAGAAGTAGACTGACAGCCAGACCTGGTAGCTCACACCTGTAATCCCAGCACTTTGGGAGAATCTTTTGAGCCCAGATGTTTGAAACTAGCTTGGGCAATATAGTAAGACTTAGTCTCTACCCCAAACCAAAAAATTAGCTGGGCATAGCAGCACATGCCTGTAGTCTTAGCTACTTGGTAGGTGAAGGCAGAAGAATGCTTGAGTTCAGGAGGTCAAGGCTGCACCACTATATTCCAGCCTAGGTGACAGAGTGAGACCCTGTCTCAAAAAAAAAGGTAGTAGACTGAGAAATCCAGCGCTCCTTCCACATGCACCAAATGTGGGACAACTCTTCCCTGAGGTCGCCTTCAGCAACCTCTACGGCTCAAAAGGTAGGGAAGCGGCTGTTGTGGCTGGTCCCTCCTGCCTCCATCCTGACAAGATGGGACTGACACTGACACTGGGGCACACGCTGACACTGTGCTGTGGGCAGAGCAGGAAGAGGGAGGGCCTGGCCCTGTGGGCACTCATTTGTCAATAAACACAGAGGTGATTCCACACACTGGCTGTGTGGGATCGTGTCCCCTTTGCCAAGCTTGAGCTGAGACACATTGTCCAATTCTTGGAGGGTCCAGTGTTCCCAAAAAAGTAACCACACTACGGCTTTAATAGTCATTTTAATTATGACAGCATGAAACTGCTAATAAGCCTTTATGAATTGGAATTGACAATCCCCTGAAAAGACAAAGAAATTAGAAAATAAAAAATAATAAAGTCTGCTTCTCAGCTGATTGATCAGCTGCTTTGTGACTGGGGTTTTAACAAAGCCTAAGAACATCCCGACGATGTTGGGGTCACTGGCTTTTCAGAGTCATGACTTCAGGGAGGAGCACCTGAGACTCACCTAGCAATGGCCTTCAAGCCATCTCTCCTAGACTCAGCAAAGCTCACGTCCTTGGGAGAAGTGCGGGTAACTGCTCTTAAGCCTGCGAGAACCTGAAAAGCAAGAATCACCAAAAGAACCTTTCACTATAGGATACTTTCAATGCAAGTGGCAGCATGGCCCTGGGGCCACGGAAGGCAGTACCTCGGGACAGGCAGCCTTTGGGTAGCCCATAGGTGCCCCCTTCCTCACAGGGCCAGCCACAGTGCAGCCGGGGAAGACACTGGGGGCGTCACCTCCAGCCCTTCCAGGCTGAATCCCCAGCCCCAAGTAACCCCTGTGAGTTTCACCTCCCCCTGGACAAGGTCTCCCTTTTTGTCCCATTGCTGAGACCTGGGATATAAGACGAATGAAGCTGCTGGACCCTCATAATTTCATCTGTTATTTCTTGAAGTAATGGTTCATTTCTTATAACTGTTTCATGTTTATCCACATGTCCATAAACCCCAGTGTGAGAGTTCTAATGGCAGAGCAGCCGCAAGAGGGTGGAGAGACTTCTGGAGAGCAGAGAGTCTATCTGGAGAGAGTCTCTTACAAGAGTCTATCTGGAGCTGCAGATCCTGAGGTGCTCGGGCTGGATCCCACAGTGAGGGAAGGGCACAGGCCCCTGCAGGGAAGCGTGACCTGGGCTTGCCCCAGCTTTGGGTGGCCAGGCAGCAGCAGGGAGAAGAGCAGGAGCTCCTGGCATGTTGGTCAGCAGGACCAGGACCCATGCGTGATTGGGGAAGGGAAGCACATGTTTCCAGGCTGAGGCTGGTGGGGGCAGAGGAGGGTTGGGTCTCCAGGGTCTGACCGGATGTGCTGGAGAAGCAGTGCCAGGATGCCGAGGTGATCTCAGTGGGTGGGACTGTCCAAGAGAGACAAGCCAAGGACAGGAGAGCTCAGGGGACACAACATTTCAGAACAAACCCAAGGAGTCAGTGAGATGGGAAGAGGAGGCAGAAGAATGGGGCTCCAGAAGGGGCATAAGGAAGCAAAACTGAGGGTGGGGACTGGTGCCCTCCAGGGTGCAGGAAACAGGACAACCTTCCTTCTCAGCCTTTTAGCTCCCAGCTTTCATAGGAAGAAGTGTCTCCCCTCTTTCCAAGTTCACAGTGGGAGCCAGGGAGGCCTGAGCAGCCCTACCCCTGGCAGCTCTGCCCCTACTCTTAGTGCTACCGCCCCACCTCAGGGTAAGGTGGAGTCCCAGAGGGTAAGACAGAGACCTCCTGCCTGGCCCTCAAATCAGAAATATATGACAGCTTCTGTGGAGACTACTTGGGGAGCCGACCTGGGGGGGAAAGGAGGTCATGGCGTGGCTTCTGTCCAGACCCAGACCAGGCTCTGACAACTATATGTGACGCAACACACATGTAGAGGCAAACGTGCTCTCATTGTGGGAACAACTGCTTCTACAAACACCGTCTCTCCTATCAACCAGAATTCAGCTTCTCCAAAGTCTGTCCTTTGACACGAGCAGGTTTCCAGGCCCCCTAAGGGCTGCAGAATGGGGTACTCCCTGCTTACCTCGGGACCACATCCACCAACACTATGTGGCTGTGTTAACAGTGCAGCCCACCTTGTGCCCCTGCCTAACTGTTCCATCTCCCCTGAGGCCCCTCCTTTGCAAGTGCTCAGGTCAACTTCACCTGCTGGAGCTTGCCTTTCAGAAGGAAGCCAGGAAGAGCACCCAAGGCTGATGAGAAACCACAGCGAGTCATTTCCTCTGGGCTCTGCAGCTCAGCCAGATACTGCTCGATCAGTTCCTCTGAAAAGAAGTAATGATCTAAGGATTAGGATGCAGACATGAAAAAAATTAAAAAATTAAAAAAGAAGTAATGAACATAAAGAGAAGGACGCTCTGTTGCCCCACCATTTACTTGATGTGTATATCAGAAATAGGAGTAAAATCATGTTAAAGAAGGGACAGCATTAGGCTCTTAAAGCAAATCTATTTCCAAAGTGGCATATTTAAAAAAGAGGTTTTCATAAGGTGTTTTTAAGGTTTTCATAAGTACTTTTAACTATATGGTTTCAGTCTTAGGAAAATAATTTCAAGAGGGTGATAAGAATGGTAGATTGCTTCATAATTCTCATTTTTATTCACCAAGAACATAAATTTATTATGGAAACAACATCTTCCTCATAAACAAGAGTACTTCACCAGAGACTGAGAAGATGCAGCCCCATGCCAGATACTAAGGACTTGGGATGTGACACAGCTGGAGTGGCAGGCACTGCCCCCTGAGATATCTGTTGAGGTCAGCCCAGGGAGAGGAGCAGCGGGTCACTGGGCAGAAGGGGGTAGAGAGCAGTAAAAACCAGCAGAGTGAGAGTAGACAGCTATGACCATGGGCAGCTTACTGAGGAAAAGCAAGTGGTCAGTGACAGGAACAGAGGCTGAGAGGGAGAAATGTGAGCCAAGGGGCACCCAAAGTTCAGGGTGAGATCAGGTAACAAGTTCTAAGAAAGAAGGTGAATACCAACCCGTTTCTTTAAAAATGCAGCTCAGGGAGATGTAGGGGAGCCAGGCTAGTCCTGTGTGTCCCATCTGCTGTAACCCAAAGAGACTGTCACTACCATTCTCACTCCAACAAAGTGGATGCCTGTAACACCTACACGTGAAAACACATAACATGCTCCCCCATCCTCATATGTTAGGACAGAAAAATACAATGGAAATATGATTTACACACATACTAAAGTGAATTCACTTCAGTAGCAATGTGAAAAAACAATCTCCCATCATCTTTACAACCCACCTGAGTTTCAACACAAAGGTTAATTTCTGAATATCATTTTATATTCAGAGTGTCATGATGTGAGACTCTCTTCTTAGGCAAAAAAGTAAATCATCGCTTTATTATTCCTATTTTTAAAAATAGGATAAATATAAAGTAATGTTACTATTGTCTCTTTACATAAAACTGCCTGTGCCTAAAAAAAAATTTGATGAAACATCACTAATTTAGACAATCTGTCAGAAGACAAAATTACAGATTATTTTCTCATTTTTATAAAATCACAAAAAATAGATTTAGACTATTGCAATATGATTATTGTATATAATTATTTAAAATAGTGTTTCATATGTTTTTGATTTGATTAAATACAAGTCCTATAATATGACATAAAGGAGTGTTGTGGGCTAACATAATATGTGTGTAGAATTTGATTTTTAAAATTCTAACTTAAAAATAATACTCATGAAGTAGGTCCTAAAAGCAGTATTCTATGATGTGCCAGAAACAAGCTCAAACATCTGCACAGAGCCAGTTCAAACCTGGCCAGTGCAGGGATGTGCCGTGAGGAGTGCACACAGACACAGCATACAATCAGCCTTACACCCCTTTGGAAAATGAAGGAAAAAAGAGCAAGATATGTCAACAAGTGAAAAACACATACCAGAAAATGTCATGGTGTACATAAAGATTCTAAACACATATTTTACCATGCAACAGAGAAATTGATGCTGCCCTTACATGAACAGACTCAAAGGAAGAAGTGTGAACTTCAGGGGGTGGCAAGACAACAGAGAGAGATGAGGAAAATATCACAATAATGAAAACGAGGCACTGAAGAGCAAAGAAACACCAAGAAAATGTCACCAAATGGATGAAATATGAGAAAGAAAAAAAGAAATGGGAAAAGAAATTTAAGAGCTAGAAAGATGATACATAGAAGACAGGTAAAGACACTCCAACAAATGCATAATTGGAAGCCCCAAAGCACAAAACTGGAGAAGTCTACTTAAAAACCTGACTTAAAAAAACAGCTGAGGGCAACCCCTTCGGGTCCCCTCCCACGAGCTTTTCTGTCCTCCCAATAAATCCTGCTTAGGAAACAAACAAACAAACAAAAATAGTTGAATAAAATAAGACTCAATTCTATATCTGGAATAGTAGCACTGTACTCCAGGACAAGTTGATAGTACAGGCAACACTAAGACACGTCCCAGTGAAGCTACTAGTTCAGAGGAAAGAAAGCAACCTTGGGTAGCCAGACACAGTTGAAGGAACTGAGAATCTAGCATCAAAATGAACCCTGCTTGGTCCTAGGAGGAAATGTGGGAATGTTCCTGTGTAGCCTAGATCCCTGCTCATGTCAGTCCCATGTCCACCGTCAATCAGGTGCTACCAGATCCATTCCAGAAAGGAGCAGGTAGTTCTGTCGAGCCCTCATCCATGCCCAGATCCTGCCCACAGCACAGCTTCCTGCCGAAGCCCCTGGGGCCTTCTGGGACAGAGCCCACACGACTGACCCTGAATTGCAGGATCCGCCTCCCTCTGCTCCTTCATGTAGTATTCGCTGCAGAGAGCCGCCAGGGCTGAAACAGCTGCATCCTAAAACAAAGGAGGGGCAGTGAGTTCATAACGGCTCTGCTTGGTGAAGCTTTTTGGCCACAGACACAACGGGTCACTCTTAAGTCTAGGCATAGTGATGACATATAAAAACAAAAACAAAAAATACCTAAATTACGTCATTCCTTTCCAATATGTCTACCCATTGTTTTCTGTCAGGCATTTGTCACTTTAATCTCCACAGCTAATAAACTGAATAAAGAACTTGGTTAATTTCTTCCATACAACATAAAGTCCATGTCTTCTAATATAGAGCAATTGATAATAAAATGAGACATATTTTTTCTTTCCTATCCATAGTTATGAAAGGAAAAACGTGTGTCATGCTCCCAGAGTAACATGGGCAAGGACTCCAGGCCAGGGCATGTTCAGACTAATTTAGAGAGGGCCCAGGGACACTGGGAACAACAGTGTGGGGTCAGGGGATGCCAGACAAAAAGATGCATAAGAACCAGTCACAAGGTGCCTGGAACCACAGCAGAACAGATGATACCATGCTACATGAAGCTGGAGCTGATGGGCAGTCACTGAGTCCCACTGCATGTGGGACACCGTAAGTTCTCTCCCTGAATCCTATCTCCACCATCTCCAGAGGAGGAGCCAACACCCAAATAAGCCTTTTATGACTATACAACCAGCAAATGGCAAACATGGGACTCGTATGTTCTTTCTATTGCTCCCTCAAAGTCAGGGAGCCAATGCCAACATCAATGCTAGTGTGATTTAATAATGTGTAATTTATTGGCCAGTCTTTCATTTGAAGACAACGTGGAAGGATGCATTTGTGATTACTGAAAACCACTTCTCAACTGATATATCAGAGCTAGACAAATTTCAAATGGAACACAGGCTTTTCTTTTCTTTTCTTTTTTTGATACTCAGTTCAGTATATAGGAGTTAAGACACATATTTCTAGTCCCCAGAAGAATAATCTCCTCCATCATTTTAAAGATTTTCTCAAAAAAGCAACATGTAGAAGCATATTGATCTGCATGATCCACACTGCACATATTTGCAATATAATTTAGAATCATTTCAGGCTTTTTGACTGATATAATGTTTCACCACATAATGTCCTTGTGGTAGATTTCATTCCTGCATGATTCCAAATGCTGAGAATTGTAACGACCCATTTGTCCTTCCACATAAGAAGTGTAGCATTATTTTTCCTATACCCTACTGTTTTGGGGTGTTTTTTTTTCCATTAAAAACTTTGGCTTTTTAATTTGTGCTGGTATTCCCTTTCAGTTGACTTGATTATGCTATTGAGATGGCATTTCATCTTAGTAGCTCTTCTGCTAGGACAATACTAATGTAACATTTGTCAGTACACATGGTATTCTGCTGCATTGGGAATGTTTTCCAACAATTTTTTATATAAATATAATGGAATTCTGGTGCTTTCTAGAAGATCGGGTCAAATGATGTTTTCAGATATTATGCTGCCATAGTAGGAAAGTACTGAAAAAAGTTACTCTGTTTTTGAATCAGCTAGCACACAAATGTGTATACCTATCCATTTGGCAGGTTAATTTGGATTGTATATTATAAATGATATTCACTCCTTAAATTGAACAATGAATTTTTCAACACAAATTGCCTGACCTGGTATAAAATATTGTGAAAAATTTGAACCAATGTATTCCAAATAATTATTGGTCTTGTGAATACAAGTTATGATCATCCCATCACTTGACACAGGTGTCTTCAAATAAAGCACCCAGAAGATTTGCTTAACCCTTTCTCTACTGAATGTTTCCAAAAAGAAGAGTATCTTACTACTGAAAACAGTTGACCAGTACTCTTGAAAATTTGGCGTTTGAATTATTCCCATGGATAATTCAATAAGAGCTAAAAATTCCTGTTGGTCAATGTCATGCCACTTATGCCAAATCTATTTGGGTGATAGCTGCTTTTTCCTCATTTTTCATCTTTTATTATACTATTCACTAATTCATTTGTAAAACGGAGTAAAATAGTCAATCAGTTCGTATTTGTGGTCCTGTTGTTTGAGGATGTACAACAAAATTCATTCTCGCTGTAGGATTGTCTTTTTTCTGCAGCATCTTCCCATTCTTCCCTTGACAATACATTGTCTTCTACTTCTTCGAAACTAACATTTTACTCACTATCACTTTCTATTACATTTGCCCGTTTTCTTAGTGGGATGATTATCACTGTTGCTACCTTCATTTTCTTCCACATCAATGTTTACTTTTTCTAATTTATCTGTATAAAAATCTAAACCTAGCTCATCCTCATTGCTGTTTATAACTCTAACTTGTCTTTTCATTTTGCCATTGTTTTGCAAACTAATTGGATAAAAATTTCTAATTGTAAATTACAAAATCATGAAATGAAATTTATCAAAAGAATATTACTTTTCCAAATTTTACTTTTCTGACTTAGTGCAAATCGATATATTCAATCTTACCACTCGATACTTCAACATGATCTGCTTTCAACTTCAGAAGTCTCTTTCTTTTAAAGCTACAGTAACTTGCTTATCTATCTTTTCAAGTTATGCCATATGATACAACGGGTATACCCACAACTGCCTTTCTTATACAAATGCTCTTTATCGCTACCTTCTATTACAAAGAAATGTCAGCACCACCAAGAAAGCACTTCACACATTTTTTTCTACATAATGCCAGCTAGTGTTTTTTTTTAATGTATATCTCAGTATACATTCCATGTCTTTATTTGCCTTTTTGTGCAATTTGAATGAAAAATTCAAGGAAACACATTTTTTGAAAACTTTGTGCTTACATAAGTTTATCCTGTATAACCACCAGCAATCTCTTGATGTCCCTGAGAGGGGACATCCAAGTGGTTTGCTAGATTTACAATGTCCTCTCAGAGGAGACATCCAAGTACAAAGGGCTAATCATGGATATTTCCTAGAAAGAAAATGCTGAGGCATTAATCATGATGCACTCAAATTCAATTAGTAAAATTTTACTTGGGTTTTACAGAATGATAAAGTTACTTAAGGAAAAAAAAAACCCAAGGAAATTGAAGATGTAGCTACTAACACAGTAGAAATGCTAGGATACAGAGGAGGTTAAAGAATTACAAAGACACCTGAAGGTACTCCCATTCTTCATTACTATGTAATGGGTTAAGCTTTAGAGTTCTGGTAGTCCAAAGTTCACCTGGATCCTCAGGACAGGAGAGAAGGACAGGCAGCCAGGGAAACACACAAACACTCATGCCTTCACAAAATGACCAAGTCAATGTATGTGGGCAAAGATTCTGGGGTACAGTTTTGTCATCTACATGTGAGCATCATCAATAGAGTTTCTAAACCTCAGATCCTAAAACTCAACAGGACACAGGATTCAACTGGGCACACATTTACTATCAGTGTATAGGGCAAGTGTTTCCCAGGTGAATAAAATTAATGAAGCCAGAAAGAGTAATAACATGGTAAACATTCTGATGATCAGTGGCTGAATTAGGTTTCCTGATTATAAGTCACATAGGCACTATCAACTAGAATTTCAGATATTCCAATATACCATCAGTTACTATGTGAGTGTATGAAAGAAATTCATAACTCACAGTCCTTTCATACAAATACTACAAATAATAATCAATGCCACTTGTTTACAATGCAGCACTGGGAACAGTCAGTCTTGCTTACCACACCTTTATCTGCTGTCTCGAATGACTTGAGATTAGATGGAGACTTCGGAAAGTGTCATTTATCAGCCACTGCCAACCATCTGGCAAAGAAACAAATAAATTAATTTACCCAATTAAGAATATTTCATTGAAATTAAAAACAACAAATATGTCTTCCACTAATCTTAAATCAAAGTAGATGGTAACCTTGAGAGAAATCTAGAAAGAACTGAATCCAGATTGTATGAAATTCTAAGGTCCCTCATGCAAGTATTTTGGGAGGCCAAGGTGGGAATATTGCTTGAGCCCAGGAGTTTGAGACCCACCTGGGCAACATAGTAAGACCTTGGCTCTACAGAAAATTAAAAAATTAGCATGGTGGCACATGCATATTGTCTCAGCTACTTGGGAGGCTGAGGCAAAAGAACTGCCTGAGCCCAAGAGGTTGAGGCTGCAGTGAGCCATGATCGTGCCATTGCACTCCAGCCTGGACAACACGGTGAGACCCCAACTCTAGAAAAAGAAAAAAAAATTTTTTTTTTTTGAG